ATGTGCACATTTTAGAGTGTTTTGGATTTTCGAGTCACAGATACAGGATTTTTACATCTGTCATGGAGAGATGATGACATTCCAAACTGATTCAACTCAATAAAATTATATTTTTGCTACTTGGACAAGGACCCATTTCTCCCAGGTGGGACTGAGAATTTATGTTTCAAATGAGTCCCAAGGTATGGTCAATGCATGGACCATCCTTCTGGAGGGGTATAAAGAACAGGACCCGCGCACTAGAATCTCTTTTTGGGCTTACTGGGGAGGCGTGTCCCAAGAAGTGTCCTGTTGTCTCAAGAATGGACCATCCTTCTGGAGGGGTATAAAGAACAGGACCCGCGCACTAGAATCTCTTTTTGGGCGTACTGGGGAGGCGTGTCCCAAGAAGTGTCCTGTTGTCTCAAGACAGATGGTTCCAGCCCCAATGAGCCAATCCCAGGCTTCCCCTCTCCCTCCAGTAATGCAGAATTTCAAAAGCCTGTTCATTCTTTGTGCCAAAGCCACAAGCACTACATTCAGCTGTGCTCCCAAAGACGTGTCTATCTCTGGTGTCAATTACCAATGAAACAGTGAGCATGAAAACTACAGTGGTCCCGGAACACCATCTGCACAAAGGGATTCTCTTTAGCAACGTCCCAATGTCCTCATATTTCCCTAAAGAAAAGGAGATCTGATCGGAGTCAGGGCACCTCCTTCCCCACCGAGGAACGGGGCAGGCAGAGGAGCTCACACCGGCTAGCCTCTCTCTCACCCCAAAAAGAACAGCGGAGCAAGCACCACACCATCTGTAGAGCAACGTGGGCCCCAGAGCCCCATCTCTCCTTGCTGACAACTAGACACTAAATCTGGTTTACCTCAAAAAAGGCCCAAATCCTCTCAGGTGTCAGCATACAAGATGTGCTTCCTACCAATTCCTTAATTTTGAAATGTGCCATCTCAGGTTGGGACAGGTCTGAAGACATCTAAATGTCACCAGAACACAGAGAGATGACTAGAGGACACAGTGACCAGTGAAAAAACATGCACAGCAGCCTCCGCAGAAACAAAACCCTCGAATCTGAGCAACATTACTCCAAGTTGATCCAGCCCAGCCCCCACCCAACCCCTCCCCAGCTAACAACATTCAAACCAACTACAGATTTGGCCCTTGGTTTACCTCAGGGTTTCTCCAGCCTTGGGACTACTGACACTTGGAGCCAGGTCACTCTTTACAGGGGGCTGTCCTGTCCATTGCAGAGTGCTGGGCAGCGTCCCTGGCCTCTACCCACTAGATGTCAGTCGCAATCCCCCCTCTAATAACGAGATAATCAAAACATGTTTCCAAACATTGGCAAATGCCCTTGGGGATAGCTGAGTTCTCTTCCCTGCCCTGCACATGGTGGGTAGTGATGTGGAGAAAGTCAACTGTCTACGACCAGTCAGTTTTTTTAAACTATGAAATAACAGAAATAACTTCCTTCCCTCCCGCACCCCACAAAGTCACCGCGAAGATCAAATCAGTCACTGTCGCAAAGGAACCTCCACTCAGCCTACAACTGCAGTATTATTGGGAACGAGCCCTGCAACTGCTGCCATTAAAGATCACCAGGTTGCCTGGGAACTGTAAACTAAGTCTTCGTGAATTTGAGAACAGTGTGCTCATGATAACACAAAAACCTCTGGGAATAATCCAGCCCCAAAGAGCTTTTTAAAACCACATCTACATATTAGGAACTGCTCTCAGGCCAGGGTGCAGCCTCCTCTCTCAAGGTCCAAGGCAGAATAATCACCCCTCACCCGTCCCCCAGAAAAGGAAGAGGCAGAGGGCACCAACCCCATATGCACATGCACGTCCTGCAACAGCATCAGAAGAAAAAAAAAAAGGTGGCTGTACATATCTAGGCAACTTAAAAGGTAAGAGGAGGGGATGAAAAGTGAAAGGTGGTGGTTGTGGCATCGTGTCTAGTGTGCTCGATCACACTGACGAACACAGGACAGCAGCCATCAGGGCTGGAGTCCAGGAATGGAAATTCACCAGGACAATTTGACCTTAAAAAGATCCAAATGTACAACGATAAAACAATCGTCTGGAAATGCTATGGTTAGACTTCATTGTTTTAAAATTGCCCAAATCGATAAATACAAACAAAAACCACATACCCACTGTTTTTTTTTTTTTTTAAAGGTAAACCAAAACATAGGGAAAAAACCTCCTTTCAGCAAAGAACATGAACAGCCTTTTCACAAAGAGGAAAATGACTTAGTACACAGACGCAGGAATCGCGCCAGCTCTGGGGAGTAAGTAGACAAGGCTGCTGTGCACATAATCGGGGGCGGGGGTCTGGTGCTACCGTTTCTGCTGTGCATGGCTTGGGGGTGGGAGGGGCTGGAACAAATTTCAGAGGTCACTTTGGCAAGACACATTGCAATGCATTGTAATGACCACCCTTTTAACTCAGTCAGTGCTGTACCTTGGGATCAAGGTAGTGATACACATACTGAATACCCTTAATATTAATACAGACCTTGCAGTGCTTTGACAGCTGAAAAGTGGAGAATGATCTAAACGGTCCAATGATACGGGAATGGTGGAGTAGATACAGAGTCAAGTGAATGATGAGCCATGGATTTGATGGAACATTACATAGACATTTAAACCAATAGTTGTGGAATACATGTAGCAAACAGAAAACAGTCATGATATAATGGTAGGCAAAATACACATATACCAAACATATTTGCTATAATAATTGCATTTTAATAATGTATGTATTTCCTTCCAGTCTTTTACATATGTAAACAGGAAGAAATCGATTAAAATACTAACAGTGATTTTGGAGGAATTAAGTAATTTAAAAGACTATATATTCCCTTCTCATTTTTAAGCTATGTTTTATAAATTTAAAAGCTAAATATGAATTTTTTTCTAATAATTTTTCAAATAATGTGGTCTAAACTTTATGGGTGCCTTCCCTCCCATATCACCTACTCCTACGTTGCCAGGACATCAAAAGTAGGGGGTAAGGAGTCAACCCTGCCATGTGACTACAGACCCTTCATTTTGAAGCCAAGCTGTGGACAGATATCAGGGAGGTAGCTGGGTTTTACATGAATAATGAAAAGCTCAAGGTGGCTGTTTTCCCGTCTCACTTAATGTTTTTTCAAATTCAGCTCATACTGGAAATAAATACCTCCCCTTCTATGGGAATGAGAGCTACATTGATCATGGATCTTATAAACCAAGACCAGAAAGTTGATATCAAAATGGTTTTGTGCATTCCATCTCATCTCCTTTGTCCCCTCACTCTCTACCATGAATCTCACAGACCAGGTACCTTGGGTTGAATGTCCCCCCAAGACTTAACCCCCACTGTGACTGTTGACGGTGGGAAATCCTATTATGGTAACTGAAAGGTGGGGCCTTGAAGAGATGATTAGATTGTAGGACCATGCCACAGTGAATGGATTACTACTGGTGGTCAGGGGTGTGGTTCTAAATGCTTTAAAGAAGAGAGAGGAGATTTACTCTCACTCTCTCTGCTCTCTCTCTGTTTTCTCTACTTCCACCATCCTGCAATGTGAGATCCCTGGACCACCGTCCACCACCAAGGCCTTCACCTAATGCGTTCTCTGGACTTCTCAGCCTCCAAAACTGTAAGCAATAAATTTTGTTTTCTTTATAAATCACCCAGTTTCAAGTTTTTTTTTTTCCTTTTTGTCTTTTTTACTGACCGGTAACGGGATCGCAACCCTCAGTGTGCCAGTGAGCGGGAACCGGTCTCCACATGGGATCTGAACCTCGGCGGGAGCGCCGCCGCGCTCCCAAGCGGCGCACTCTCCAGTGCGCCACCAGGCCAGCCCTCAAGTATTTTTTTATAAGCAACAGAAATGGACTAATATACCAGGTGTCCACGGAGAGCAGCGTGGACACCCTCCAATGTGACGGCCCCACTGGCAGGACCTGGCCCGCAGCACCTGCAGGGCTCAGAGAGACAGGGAGTGCGAATCCAGCACTGACCTCGTAGATGAAGTACACCCTGGCGCCCACATATATCCCCATGCGGACCACGGCGCGGACAGCAGCGTTCATACCTGCAATGAGAACAGGAACAAGGTTAGTGAGGGCCCTGCAGGTGATTCTGCCTCTGTGTCCATGAACCTGACCGAGGGTAAATGGCACAACCTCTCCTACGCCCCAATTCCTAACATGAGAAATGGGTACCCCACACCCCTCCAGGGTTCGGCAAGGATAAAGACAAACAGCAGGTGTTAAGCAGGCACCTGCAGGTTGAGGGTCGCTGTAAAAGAGCCAGCGCACTTCCAGTTAAGAACGTCACCACGTCAGATCACAGCAAACTTGTAGGCAGCACCATCCAGCCACAAGACAACGTAGGAGATGGGTGTTTATTACAGTTAGCCAAATTCAAAGAAACTGACACTGAAAAAGCCAATTGGTCTGTAATTTGAGAAGAAAAATTGATGATTTCATCACCAACTACCAGTGTCAAAAAGAAAAAAAAAACAACAATGGCCTTCAATACACAAAGAAATTATGCAATTTTATTAGAAGTTAAACTAAATTGGTGTACTATAAATAATCAAGGTAACCAAGATAAATCAAGGACAGTTTTTACACTTTATGAAAAGAAATTAAGGTCAGTGTCATATAATGTTTCATCATAAAAGTCAGTAAACCTATTTCGCTTTCTACTGAATCCCACTGTGGGAAGCTGAAAACTTGCTGGAGTGGCTACCGTGGTGTGGAACCACCGTCCAGGCCTGAGGAACCCTGCATCACAGTCTTGGCTCACAAGCTAGGGTCCCGGGAGAGACGTGACACGGAATGGTGTAGAAAGATGCAGGCTTTGGCCTTCAGAATGAGGAGCACGGGAGCTCCCAGCCGAATTGCTCCTAGACACCCAGCAGTCCCAACCCCCCTCCTTCGTAAACTTAGATTTCGCAAATGAATGAGAACTAATGCTACTGGGGGATGTGGGTGATTGAGTGATTGATACTTGTGGAAGATAAATAGACAAATGAAAGAAACTGTGGCTGTACAGGAGTATACTGTGCAGACTAGCAGACTAAATTTGTGTATATTTGTCTGATAAACTAGCTCAGGGATGGTTAAAAATCTTCCTTTATGTTGGGCCAGGTCTGCAGTGCTGGAATAAGAATGTTGGCTCTGAAAGGCTACAACTTTGAATGGCAGTATCTATTTAGCTGAAAAATCCTGGGGGTATACCTCTTGGAGATAAATGCATGATTAATATAAGTATCTATGTCTACATGTACCTATATATCTAGTAGTCTTTTTACTTCATAGTCAAACCTGGTTTATTACAGGAAGAATTTTAATAACTACTGACTGATTAGTGGCCATCTCTCAAGAGCATCAAGCTCAGTATTTCAAAATGCAGTAACTTATTTTCCCCTGAAAATTTTCTCCTCCCCACACTCTCTCCTGCTGAACAAACAACACAACTTCCTCCTCTGTCGTTCAGGCTGGGTGCTGCTAATACCCTCGGTAGCTCCTGCCCACAAAACGGACACCGTCTTCCAACACCTCCCCCTGACTCCTGCTGTCTCCCCAGACATCATCCACACCATGGCCAGAATGATCAAAACAGCTTTTTCTCTTTTGTTTTTATGCAAATTATTCATAAACACATTCTTCTTGTTAAAAAGCATTACAGATAAGGTAAGGGCCACATGAGCGTCCCTGTGGACAGCCTGGTGGAGCTGCTGCATTGCCAGCGTGCTGCACGTGTCTTCACCTGTGTATTTTCTTTTTGCTTTCAACAATATGTTTGAGAAGTTCTGTGTCTGGTGATTTCTCTTCTGAAGCACAGATGTGCCATGCTCCTCCCCCGCATTCCCAGAGCCTGTGGGAGGAAAATCCAAGCTCGCAGGGGGAGCTCTGGGGCCATGCTGCTTTCTCAGTGGCACCCAGAGCTCCTGTGCTTGAACTTCAGCCCTGCCCGTGCTCCTTCTCGGCTGCCCATCCTCATCCTCCACCACTCGACTCCTGCACCTGTACCTCCAAGACGATGCCTGACTTCTCCCTCACCTGACTCTCCTTATTCCTGGAAGGTCAGAACTGCCTGACCCCCACCCCATGCTCACACCAGTGGCACTTCATTGCACCTGTGCACCATGGCCAGGGTCAGGTGTGCCTCGACCCTTGAACTCTAACCACATGGATAAAAACAGATCTCCCCTGTAACAGAACCCCCCATGCCAGGACTTTATGCTACAATCACTGTAACAGACGAACTACCCACTGCATGCTTATGCTGTGCAGCACTGGGCACCAGGTGACAGAGCCGCCCAACTAATACCTGACTCACGGGCTTTGTCCTCTCACCCTCCTCCTGCTCTCTGAAGACCCCATTTCCACGATGACCCCATGATAAGTGAACAAACTTGAAGATTTTAGAAAATTCAGTGGAAAATAAATGGCAGAAGGAATAAAACCGTTAAAAGCTGGACATGATACAGAAGGGAACCCCCAGGAGACTCTTGAGCAGAATAAAAACGCGCCCCAGCTCCGACCTCTGTCCCCGCTGCCTGGATTCTGCAGCCGAGCCTCCTCCATTAACCTGCACTCGTCTGGAGAAGAATGGCAGGCCTGCTCTCCAGCAGCTGCTCACCCCGCCTGCAGCAGCCCCTGCAGGCCTGCCCCAACAAGGTGGCTGGGCTATCCCCCAGGGATTTTCAGGCTGGGGAGTCGCTTGAGAACTTGCATTTTTCACCAGTTCCCAGGTGATGTGGGAAGCACAGCTCTAAGCCCAAAGGGGCTTTGGTTCACTTGCAAGATAGTGTAATAGAGTTGAGCCAGCTGGACATTTTCTTTCCCCCTTTAGTTCAGGATGGCGGGGGGGGGGGGGGGG